ACTGACTTAAAACCATTTTTAGCTGGTGAAAATACTAGTGTTCTAATAATTCTGGCCACCACTGCATGTTTAGGTATTGGTTACGAATAAGGGATGTAGAATATGATGCCGAATAAGGCATTAATATGTGCTTTATAATTACTAATAAACAGCCAATACTAGTTAATAGTAAATAGAGTAGAGACAAAAAAAAAGTGGTTTCAGAGGTGAAGCAAGCAATTACACATTTAATTAAAGATACAAAGACAATTTAAATAATTTAAATAATGTGCACTGATGAATCAACAATAACTCTAGAAACACATAAGAAAGTAAACAAGGTCAGTTTTGATTTCACTTTGACTTTGCGGAACATCCTTGAGAAATAGCGACCAATGTCATATGTAATCAACACATTATTATAGCGAAGTGTACAGAAATCAAAAATGCATATCTCAAACAACAGAGCGAGTTTGAGCGAGAGGGTTTTCATTAGCGCGGCCCCGTCTATAGAGCAGCTGCTGTAAATGAATTATTTTCAAATAAATGTTTCAAGACCTTGAGCCTGTTTGCGTTTAAACGGATCTCTGCCGTCAATGTTCGCTACACGACTCGGACAAGGTCTCCCGCCCAGATATCCTGCTGAACTGAACACTGCTCAATAGAAAAACTCGCGACTTCTTTCATTAGCGACAATCTGTCCTCAGCAGAACGTGGCACTCTTCGACCTTCCCCACGATCCACAGGGACTGTGTTATATTAGCGCAGCACACGGGGCTACAGCGGCAGAGTCTTAACAGAGATTTCCTTTCCATGCCTCTCATGAAGCACGACCCTCCACTCCACATTAGCTGCCTTATTTTCTCATTTAATCTCTCAGAAACACGTCTGCGCTGCTGCTGAAAGAGCCGTGGATGCTGAATTAAAATTCCAGTCAGTCAGGCAGTCTGCTGCAAACAGCATCTTTCATGCCTAATACAGCTCACCCTCAAAGCTCTGAGGAGCAGCAGCCCTCTCCATACGAGCCTCGACCTGCAGAATTCACAGTCTGTTCAGAGAAGTGGCTAGTTTCCATATCCAACCCCGTTTAATGAGGACATAATGAGATCATTAACTCCCGTTAAACTCTTTCGAAGTCGCGTTTGGGAAGAGTCTAAAACGCTGAGGAACAGGTTGTTCGTGTCGAAACCACCGCCTCCGCTCAAATCCCCCTCAGAGATGAGCCTCTGTCGTTCTTTTGTTCTCTTTCATTCTTTTTAGTTTGTTCACTCACTCTTTATTTTAGATTGTTCTTTTTATTCTGTTATCTCTTTCATTCATTTGTACTTCCTTTATGCCTTGTTCTCTCATTCATTCTTTTTTTACTTGTCCATTCTCTTCCTCTAATATCTTTTTCTTTTCCAATTTTTCTTCTTTCATTCAATCTTTTTTCTGTCATTCTCTTTCATCGTGTCATTTTGTTTTGGTTTTCATTCTTGAATCCTTTTCGAGGTCGAATCTATTCTGTTTGTTCTCTTTCATTCGTTTTTTAAATAACGTTTCTTTCCTTTAATCATTTAGATATTTGCTCTCATTCCTGCATTCTTTCTCTCATTTCAGTCTTTCTTTTAGTCTTGCTCATTTATTTGCATTTTCTGTTCTTCCTCTTTTCTGAAATCTTTCTATTGTGCTATCTTCATGAGCTGCATTCAAAACAAGCACACCCTGCATCACGATTTGCATACTAACCATCCTCTGGAAACAGTAAAGCAGAGATACCCGGATGCTCTAGTCTAGTGAGATGAAGCAGACTGGGGAATGAGAGCGATGGTGCTTCATCCCTTTTGAATTGTTTTTAAATGTCACATAAGTTTAATGGTTGTGGATAATGTCGGAAGGAAGGAAGGAAGAACAGTATATTATCTGAATAATAATAATAATGTAAGAAAATGAATTGAGAAGTATCAGAATGTTAATGCTGACAGAATGATTGACAGGCCAGTTTATGGTGACATGATGCATGTAATTATAACTCAATTAGTGACTGGATATTTATGACTAACTCACAGATGAGTTTTGTTGTAATAAATGGCATTTTAATGAAAAACATTGTTTGTGCTGCCTGGGCTTTTAATGCAACGAACACAATGGTGGAAAAATGTCAAAACCACACAAAGGCACACATTTGTATTCACCTACATAATATGAATATATGATAAACACCACAAATCAATTCACTAATGCACAAATAATTAGCAAACAAACAAGCCATTTTGTATCTGTAACTGAATGCACAAATAAATGCACAGCAGTTTGCATTTCTGTTCAAATTCTACATTTTTTTTTTATTTAATCATTTTTTGTTTGTTTGTTTTGGTTTTATTTATACTTTCAATCATGCAGTTCCTTCTTTTGGTTATTTGTTTTCTTTCACTCCTTTTTGCTCTTTTTTTTCTTTTGTGTATTTTGTTTTCTTTCATTAGTACCTTTTTCATTATTTATTAATTTTTTCATTTTGTTCTCTCTAAATGTAGAGCCATTTTCATCTGAACTCTGTTTAAATTGGCCTCTCAAGCTTTTAAAAAAGCTATGTGCATTTCATACGTTCACCATATCTTTATATCACACTGACCACAGCTGATTATCATTCACAAGCTGCCATTTATGACCTAGATATCGGCGTAAATGAAACGTGTCCTGCATATTACTGGCCAGTTCATGTTCTGTGAGTCAGTCCTAACGCTGAGGAGGCCGCTGAAGGATTTTCAAGAGGGATGAAGACAAGAAGTGACACGGCCGCACATGACAGCTGGTGGAGGCAGGATTCATATCTGATGGAATCGTGAGAGACTGAATGAACTCCTAGACAATAGCTCTTTGATCCTGATTGTAGTCTGCAGTTGAGATGTCATTCTCTACCGATTACTGATGGGAATCTTTCTCCGCTCCTCTATTTTCCACTTCCTGTCTGCACATCAGATGGCTGGAGACCTCAACAATGACACCCTCTCAGTTCTCAACAGCCGTCATTATGACTTCACTCTCAAAGACTTCATGTTCAGATCAGACCCCGAACAAGACAAAGCTGAGACACGCACACACATGCACGCACACACGCGCACACACACACATACACACGCACGCACGCACGCACACACACACACACACACACACACACACACACACACACACAC